TTCAGGGCTTAAAACATACTCTCTTCACTCTCCCACTTGCCCGAACCCTGCCTCAAGGCAGTGCAGAAGAGAGTAAGCAGGGTCAGACAGAACAGTTGTCAAGGTTAAACAGCATTTCTAAGTTTGTCACACAGGCCTGGCCAGACATCTATACAGATGAAGAAGGGCAGCTTGGACCCCAATTTATTGGGAATGCCAAAGAGTCCAGGCAAAGTAAACATTGCAGTTCGTCAGTGAGCATCCTTTTAGCTGCGACTTTTAACGTACTGGCGTATCCTCAAGCGCGTCAGATTGTTTATACTAGGAAATATGCGCCGAACACTATGAGAACATAGTCCACAAGATTAATCTCAATATCTCGTCCTTGATCCAAACACCAGTCAGCCGAGCAGGTTCGTCAACCTACTGATGCTGACGTTGATTATCAGAACTGCAATGATCTGTCCACGAGTGCCACAAACGATCACACCCTCCACGTAACATACTAGGTTTCTGCACAAAGGGGTTTGCTGCTCGGATGTCGCATGGTGGACTACTGTAGAGGTCACGGGAAGCAGGAGACAAGGAACACGTTTCTTACTTACGCGCGATGCATCTAGTCCATATCAGTGTTGGGAATGTAGGGTAGATTCCGGTATGATGTGTACTGATGGGACGATATGTAGGGACTGGTCTTTGTTTATAGTGTCTTTATATGGATTTGATTGGGTGCGCACATGCCGAGGTTGCGCATAATTTGAGGTGGCAGAATGTCTGTGAGCAATTTAAAAAGGGGTGGTGGGCGCATATCCATGCTTCAGGTAGTAGAAATGCTTTGTGAGGACGCCCAATAAATAATATTATTAATAAATACCTACATTTGATTGGTAGGTTTTAATTTCTTAATTTTTTTACTCAAATTTGGGGGTCACGCGCCCGTTCTGCTTCTTTGCGGTCGCGTTTGGAGCTGGATGGGTTAGATTTACAGAGCTGAATCTGAAGATGTCGTAGTTCTCGCACCTGTCCCTCAAGTTCACTGCAGTATGTTTTTACCCTCTGAAAAAGTGCTCTAATACAGCCTTGTTTATGCGCTTTTAGGTGGTTGCCGTTCCAGAGATC